CGGAGGTTGAATTATTACTGACTGTGGAAGCCCAAGTGGTAAATACAAAATCCAGAGAGGTAGTCAACCTATAGATATCTGGCTGCATAGGGTTTACATTGTGACCGTTGAAGCTGTGACATAATGGTCAAGATAAAGTTTTGGTCAGCTTTGGAGGTTTTACTGTATCTTGGTTAATGACGTCCCCGAAATCCAATCATCCGACCAGTCGCGATTCCAATCTCATGACTTGAAACAGTAGCGCTTCCTCTGTCTAGCGCTCGCTCTCTCACCATGCTTTGAATGCCAACTAAAAATCTAGGTTTGTCGAAGCACTCAGGTATAATGGATGTGGACTAAGGATATTGGAGTTCATGATGCATACCAAACGGATGCTTAAAAGTGGTGTTCGTTAAGTAGCACAGCTTAAACACCAAAGTAGTATGAGGAATAGGTCTGAAGGCGGTCGAAGCTGAGGCATCACTGCTGAAGGCAACACAAAACAAGTGCCAATTTGCTGCAAGCCCAGCTGTCTACATAAGTAACAGCTAACCAGCAAGGCAAATTCGTTGCTACGCGAAGAACCAACCTGTCAATTAACTGACACGGCTTCGAAGATGCAGCTACTATTTCAACTTATATTTTAATATGCAACTTCTTTTCTCCAACTCATATCTCCAATTACTCTAGAACACTCAAATATTGCACATGGTCACAATCACCGCCCCAAGAAGGTCAATAACATCGAGCGCAAGACTGTTTCTCCAGCGGAAGCAGTACGTGCCTAAAATCACCTTTCTTATTGTCCCAGCACAGAAATTGCTCATATTCCGTTTGGTATATGCTGTTTACTCCAAACCATAAGCGTTACGAATTTATTCTACATAACTTATCTATCAGCTGCAAACAGTACTACCTCATCTGCATGTATTGATTCGCCCACATTAGAACGTTTATATCAACATCTTTCTCCCGTCGTGCGTGGCGCAGGTACTAGTCCATCGTCCTGTTGAATAACAGAAATGACAGTTAGGTACATTCTTGCACACCACGGTAAAATCTTGTTCTATTTCGTCTGTCAGCATCTTAGCTTTTAAGTGTAGTGGTTCTCGTGCTGGAGACCCTGAACAATCTGTCACAAGTAAAACCGTGCTTACAAAGAAACTGAAATATATACGTCTGCCACATAAATTATGGCCAACCGTTAGCCAATTGTCTCCTAGTGAACTGCTCGGTAGGTACGATGGTTATCAAGACTATAGACATCCAACCACCTTCCATATACCAAGTTGAATGAGGTGAAGCAGGCGACGTCTCAACGTGGTGCGGCTCACGTGGAACGACCGAAGCAAAACCTATCGACCTGCATTGCCACGGTTGTGTAGCATGTGTAATGTAAAGTGCAAAAAGATGCACCTGTACCGAAAGCACAACTAGAGCAATTAGGACGAAAACAATAAGTCCAAGTGCTATGTGGCAATCCCAGAGCTATATGTCAACAAAGTTGCTACCATCACCTCGTTGGGCCCGTCATATTCTTCGGTTTGTGTACTGGTGCCTCACCTTGCTCAAATGATCCGAATAAGTTTGACAAGTCGAAATTAGGATCCTCTGCTACTCTTAACATCACCCAGCGGCGATTCATTGAACCACACGAACACGTACTCACAGGAGACAAAACTCGACTCAACCTCGATGGTAGGCGAATCAGACACCAAAATTACTTTCTCTGGATGTATGAAAGTAGTAATCGATTTCAGAATCTCGATGGATTACAGTTTACAGCAAATGTCAGCTTTGGTTTTAACTTTGTCTATTGTGTCCCTATCCCCTTGACTTCTTGAGATTATTGCCTGAATACAAGTTACCATTTAATGTTCAGATCTAGAACAACGAATCGAGTTCCATATCGAAGCTGCCATTAAAAGCATTACTGAGTTAAGCGCTAGCAGAAGAGCCATCGACCGAGTCGTGCATAATTTTACGTCTACTAATCCAAGATACAGAATCCCGAAGAAGGGCAATTGAGATCCCCGATTCAGTGGATAAGGTAATAACACCGAGACTCGACGTAACATTGTGGGCTAAAACTGGTCGTATTATGGAATCGACTGGTTAACCGAAGGCGTCCATCCGGCAGAGACAGATTAGCCGGAGGACAGCACCAGCGAACCTTTTGAATTGCCTTACCAAATTGGGAAATCAAACGAATCGAGAAGGTATTTGGTCTAGTTAGATGTGTGCCCGTAATACGCACAAATTCAACTAGGGGCAGATTTGGACATGATTAGCAGACATGCTGTAAGGTTGATTTCTTTTCGCACCAGATTCTGTAGTGGTCTTGCAAAATATAATACAGGACCATTAGATTGGCAAAAAAGTTGTGACGGTTTTCTGACAGTCAAATATTTTATCAGCTGTAATGTTGAATAAATTTTAGTAATTTACCTTTGCCATGAACATCATTTTGTTACCTGTCACGCACTGCATCTAGAGATGGTGTTAATTTAGCTCAGAAACACGTTCTTACAACTCAACAGAAGCTTTAATGCAACATGGACGAAAGGTAAATTCGTACAATTTTTTGTGCTCATTTAAACTTGGTGGTACTACAGCGGAAACAGACCATGACATCAGAGTTCGTTTGGTGCTATAGTCACTACTATCTGTACTGCACAATGGTTATTACGAAAATCTCGGAAATTTAAGGAAAGGCTTAAAACTTAAGAAAGCTTTGGACGGTCATTGGAAGTGAACAACGAGCCCTGACTGGCCTCTGTTAAAGTAGATCCATATAAATTTATTCGAGGTCTTGCTGCTGCATTTGCAGTACCGCATGTGACATGTTTAAAATATTTATGGGAGATTAGAAGGCCGGAAAAGTTTAGAAACTAGGTGCCGTACGAATTGAATGAAAATCAAGGAAATCTTTTTGAGGTGCCATCTGTCCTTCTGAGCAATAACAACGACCCGTTTCGCGACCGGATTGTCAATTGCGATGAAAAGTGGATCCTTTATGAAAATCGACGACGAACATCTACGAACCAAATCAAAAGTCCACAAGACTTCCTAAAGTCGGACTTGCACCCCAAAAAGATTAAAATACCTGTTTAGAGGTTAACGGCCTGTCTGGTCCGCGACAGTTTATGAATTCAGGGGAAATTACTACAGCGGCGTAGTATTTTCAATAAATTGTCGACGTGCACAGAAAACATTAACACAGGTGCTCGGCACGGATCAACCCAAAGAAGCCAGTTATTCTTCTTGCTAACGCTTGGCTGCATATCGCACAGACATACCTGCAGATGCCGCACCAGCTGAGCTACGAAACTTCGCCTTATTACACCTACTTCTCACCAAACAACTATCATATTTTCACTCACATGCTAATCTACTGCGGGAGTAAAGTTTTAAAATCATAGGATATGCAGAAAAAGCCTTCGACGGTTTCATCACTACCAGAAACCTGGAATTTTTTTCATCCGTTGGCGACTGTGTTGGTTCCAATGGTTTATATTCCGAATAAGCGTATTACATTTGAGCGAAGGTAGGTGTGTTAAAGGTTTATGATTACAACCTGCAATAACTTGATTACCAACCTAATAATTCAACTGGATCCTGTGCATACGTATCGATGGTGTAGCCATTGGCAACCTGTTACGTACATATTCGATCGTGATAAGCAACGCTCACAGAGAGCTAGCCACATTTACCCACTAATGTGGATCACGCATTTTGGGGCACAAAAATTTCTAAGGAAAAACCAGATTTTGTTCGCATTGATTCATGTTTCCTCTGTCCTCGTGAGTTTTTATGTTAATGTAACTAGGCAGCTTGCGGTATACAGACGGTCTCCACCTAATCACGCTGGAAATGAGCTGCGGTTCCTCGCACGGTATGCGAATGCGCCATCCGTAAGTAACAGCCCTGGTAGGCCGGTAATAACTGACTTCTTCTTGGACGATTTGGCAATCACCAAACTACATTATCATATCTGAAATGCATAGTCAATAACCAAATATTGGATGGTGCGTCTACGGGGATTGAGACCGCAACAAAGACACGCATTAAACGTAGATACTCGTTGCGTCGCAGGGCGATTTTTTTCAGAGGGGATTTCAACCGCACGAGTAGGGAATACGAAGGTTAACCGAGGCACATTTTGAAACGACAAATAAGATGGCATGACGAAGTAACTGGTTGGCACGTAGGTGGGCAATCATCCACACTATTGCACAGCTGACACACGCCGTTATTGTAGGAGAATCTTCAAAGCTAGAAAAATATATTTTAACAGGTAATAAGGGCAGAGAGAGAAAAATAAATAAGCCCATCCCATGTTGGTTCGCACTCCATACTCCTACCCATGTCAAACGCCGTTAAGCCACGGTAACCACACTTAGCTCAATGGAATATTGGCACCCGGTGGAGTAACAATTACTTTGCCGCCAGGTACGGTGACAAAATTTTCACACTTACTGAGGGCAAAACAGGTGCGTAAAGGCAACGCAGTCGGCTCATTGTAAAGTGCAGATTAGTATTCGTTGTAATGATTGATCCTTTGGGACACCGAGGTAAGTGTGGTGAAAGTGATCACAATGGAACAAGTATTGGAATTTCGGGGAAGAACGTTCGCACAGTTCTGACATTGGGCCCAATGGTGTTGTTGGCCATACGAAGTAATCTGGCGATTTTCAGCCATAAATTTACCCAGATATTTTACTCTTTATTTTTGTTATCGGACAACCGACGGGGCAAAGCGCCCGTTCCGCCTCACCCCCTAATGCTACGCCACCGTTGCTACCGCATAAGCGTTTTATGCACAAAATAAAGTTTACAAGGATACGAACTCCTATCGCTCGCTATCTCTGTGAGGAAGATAATCTCAAGCAATCTAGAGTCCCTACAATTTTCAGGAGCACATTCTACTACGAATCAGCAGTCGAGAATCCCATCCGACATTCGCCAGCTAGCCAAATAGTTGGTAATCCATCCAATCGAGCAAAATGAAAAAGCAGTGTACAGGTCGATGCAAATAGGTGATTTCATTTATACACGAAAGCAAACAGATCCAACATTCAATGCAGGCTTGCTTTCATAATGGTCCTTCGGAGACATCTACTTCCACATCGACAAATGCGCTGAAGGCATGGGGAGAAAGGCGTGCTCTGAAATGAAGACAAACGGTAGAAATTGGCTTGTTGAACGTTGCCTCCCATAGATGCCGAGCATTCCAACGAAATGACAAATGATTCAGGTGAGTGCAAGTGTAAGCACCTAAGACCAAGAAGCGAATATATGGAAGACAGCTGCGAATCAGATACAAAACTAAACCATGTCACCTGAACTTCGTAAAACAAACATTTTCCTCCAATGAATACATGCGTTTGCTACTCACCTGCTCACAAGTGGCAATCCCTTTCATCGCATTCTTGTTATCCTCGGTAGCCACCGTGACCGCCAGGGAGACACGCACCTCGGTAATTACCACATCTCCTCGTATGGCTTCCATCTTGCCTGACGCCGCCATTGCCAACTTTCTTCTTTTCTCTTCTATTTGACACTTTGTTATTTTCAACACCATACGCCACCTGTCGTTTAACCAAGTGGGCATTCCTGGTTTGGTCGTTGCCGGATTCCGGATTCCACAAACTCGACTCAGAATGTCGCCTGCTCGAATCGGGTGCCACCGCAGACCAGCAGGTCAATGAAGCCGCGGAGAGGAGGAAGATGAGTGAGAATTTAAAGGAAACCTGCAAAGGAAACAAACGAGCGAGCAAAATATTAAACACCTCAAATCGGTGTTCAGTGTGAATCACCTGCACGATTCACTTGAGCCAACACGCAAGCATGCCTTCTCTCAACAGAATTGCAACAGAAGAGTTGAACTGAAAAAATCGCACGCGCGTGGACGGTAATATCACTCACTTACCATCACGGAGCTTACTATTTTCTGAATTTGACGGGTGGATACGAGCTCCTTTTATACCATGTTTTGTTAAACAAAGTCAGAGCAGAGCACGTACATTGGTTGAGTCTGCGTATCGCAGATACTAGTTGACCTCGGGTCATCGGATAGGGGTCAACCCGTTCCATATGGTGGTGCGTCATCTTGAATCCCGACGTCTTTGGTTCGCCGAAGCCGTTGCGAATAGCCAGGTTAAATTGGTGCCTTGGGTTCAAAGCAATTAACTGACAATCTCAAGCTTCTCTCTGCGTAAGGTCAACACAACCAACTTTCCAAACCGCTTGTTCGTCATATCATTGATAAGATTTGTGAGCTTCCGTGGACGACCAGCTTGTATCAGTTGCGTAAGGCAGTAGAAAATTATCTATCTACTTTCTAACTACATTCTTATCATATGAGATAGAAATCAGAGATAGCTGTGCGTCGGCTTATCTTTGTATTTCCTCTTCGTGTGGATGAAATCCGTTCTGACCGTCACTCCAAAACCCATCATCACACTAACACAACTGTGGACGATAGTTTGGCCCTGATTTTGCATGCTACTTAACTTAATTCTGCTGTGCACCAATTTCATGGATGCGGAGAGCTACCCGTGTGTGTAATTTGTCGCAATCTCCTGAGCCATTGTTTTGACTGGCTGCTGCACCTCCTGAACCAAATTATTCGCCCCCATTTTCTAGTCATCTGTGATTTAACTATCCTTGAACACGCTGAGCTTAAATACAAATTTTCACAAGATATTGTGATCTAAACACGAAGTTCGCTGCAGGTGCAGTTGAAACCGGGGCACCACAACACATCTGTCAACCAAGACACATAATAGTGCGGTCAGCGCCATCGTGCTTAGACTTCAGTTTAGCCTACTGTCAACAACATATACATCAGTGCTATTAGGTCCGATCGCCAAGGTAAGCCAAGGAATCGTGGTGGTGTCGCCATCGCGTGGGTTAACCAACTCATGTACAACTCAGTCAATTAAATGTTCACTCATTCAACAATCTCTACCAGCCGTCAATTACTTGAACGCAAGCCTGAATTTCTCATTGGCTTTCAATCCGCTGCCATTGGATACACCTACATTGTTCCTCAAATATTACAGTCGGAACTGAGGTTTTTAGTTATGCCAATTTCATTGGTATTGCTGCGGAAACTAGTATGCACTGCTTGCATTGTTTTCGGTGACTTTAATAAATAAGATACAATGTTCTTCATGTCACTTGCTCTGGCAAATTTATTAGCTCTCCCCAGCAGACAAGACGCACAACTTGATGTTGTTTACGTAAACAAAAGTCATTTGTTTTTCATGCAAATGTGTGCACTACTAGGTAACTCGGACCGTTGTATACTCAACAGGTGCCCGACTATCTACAGTGAAACCAATCATGCTGCATTGATGAAACGACAACTCAGGACCATCCGAAGACGCAATTGATCGGCGCGAATTATCGCACGACATCAAGCAACGCTTTCTTCAACCAACTGTCAGTAGTTACAGATGAAAATCTATGGCTTCAATTTGGTTACCTCACGAGCTACTTCAAAATTTTCTTCTAGCAATGCTGCCAAATAGAGATGATCTGATTCCGAATACAGAGATTTTCTCCACTTACGCTGAAATAACTTTGAGGGAACGCTGAAAGTGTTTAGAAAGCTCAAAATGTCCACCAGAGTCAATAGCCTGACTTTAGCAACTAAAGCGGAAATAACAAGTCCAATTTGTTTAGACATTGAAAAGGTATTACGAAACCATAACTGTCGAGATCCCTGGAGGCTGTTGAAGCAAATCTGTGGTAAAAGTACCATCGGTTGCACCGGGATTGTGGATATTGACAAAATCATTCCTGTGATTAATTCTTCTCGGTCGAGCGCTGTTTCTACCCTTCTTTAATAAATTAAGCCCTCGCGAACTTTTTGATCAAGTTGACGTCGACAGAGAACTTAACTGGCCAAATTAAAGTAAACCTGTTGGCCCTGATGGTTTATTACCAGTGGTCATGAAGCAGTGCGCCGAATCACTCACATTAGCCCTGACTGAGATTTTGAACAAGTATCTCACGACCAGTGTCATTCTTGACATCTGGATGTCAGCCAGAAAAATGACAATTCTAAAATGTAACCTCCAAAGTATTGGCCTATTACTTGTACTTCCGTGTTCCTAAAAATCTTCGAAATACTACTAGTTCCACGGATTTACACAGCCACTTTAACTGCTAGTGTTTATCCGTTTGTGTTTAGACCACAACCATCCACAATTAATGCTGTATCGTACCTTGTGCATTCAATAGACTCAACGCAGGATAAAAATTGTAAGTCCATCCGACTACATTTTCTTGATTATTCAGATGCGTTTGGGAGCCTTGACTGATCAGTTCTGCTTAACCAACTTGATTTAAACGGAATGCACGCTGATGTTTGTAAAGTGTTGCGGGATTATTTCACTGATCGGATTCACGTTACCCAGTTAAACGGCAAAAGCTCCTTCATGCTTCGTGCTGACCGTGGTCTTTTTCAGGGCGCGATCATCTCACCCCTTTATTCCATTTATATGTTAATCTTCTCCCCATACCATTGGCATTCATTGTATGTAAACATTCTGAGGATGTTGTCTTGGGTTATAGGGATCTCTCCATTTTCACGTCTACGCTTCAATGTGGTTTACACGAACTTGTGTGTTGGTTCGCAACCAGGTCCCTCAAGCTTTTGCTTTGAAATGTACTGCCGTAACTCCTTACTCTCCTCTATTAACTTTGGAAGACAACACCCAGCATATTTCATATGCTTTCAGATACCACGGTGTCTATTTTCAAAAATCTCTTTCGATCAATGCAGGTTATAGAAACATTTTACAATGTCAGGTTACATTTTTATGCTTTCCGACTTAAGAAGTCCTTCATACAGCGAAGCTTAATGTTAAGATTTGTAACTGCATATATAATACCATTAAGTTTGTACTGTTTCCCAGTAATATTCCTTGGACTACTTTAAAACGACTATGGTTTGATTGCGCGATCGACTAAACATATTTCCAGATCTGGTGGTTTGTCTAGTGAGTCCAGAGTGGATTGTATTTTTCGTAAGCATTTCGACGCTTGCATGAATGTTTCTTATACCTTCCTAAGTGACCGTTTTAATCCGTCAAATATTGCTCTCTCACAAATGTTATCTAACACACGAAAAGATTTAGGACTTTGTTCGCTCGCACTTCATGTCATAACACATTATTGCTTTATTTTCACGATTTATTTTACAATGCAAGAAAATCACACATGCTTTGCGCATGCGGTTGCTTTAATGTCCTCCACATAAATTTGACTGTTTATTTCTTCAAGCTGCGTTTAGATAATTTTCACTGGTCCTCTTCATTCAGTGTATCCGCAGTGATGGTATAAATACTGATAAGTCACCTATATAAGTGTATGAAGCCTATGTTGTATTGACTGGACTTGAATGACATTCGAATCTCAGACCATCTGGCTGCATGCGACCACGCAGTTCCTAGTACCGACATTAAGCTACCGATGCAACTATCTCTTGTACTGCAGGCAGCTTACAACTATTAAAGTTACTATTGGAACCAAGGTTTCTTTAATCTGACTCGTACCGCTAACCAAGTGAATTGGTCTCTTCCGCAACCCGCATCGGTTGAAACAGGCTGGTTAGTTATAAGGAAAGGGATTACACTCATTTCTTGACCGGTTCGCATCTCTAATGTGCCGGAAACTAGGACCAGTCAAACCACATTTGTTTGCAAAGGATATAGTAAACTGGCACGACAGCGGCGCAAACTGCGGAACAAATTCATTGACTTTGGCTCGGCCAAAGTCAACGAGGTATTCACAATGTAGGGAAGCATTTGCATCGGTGAAAATCGGGCAAGCATCAACAATACGCAGAACAGCTTACAATAGCCGCAAAGACCGCCCCGAATATAATATTTGCGTTGATAAAGCGGCGCCTGAAACCGACAGGTTAGGTAGCAATGCTATAGGGGGTTCGGATGAACAACACTTAGCAAAATGTAACACTAAGCTTGCATCCGAACTGGCTAAGATACGCCTTTCGAACAAGTGTTTAGACAGTTGTATATAAAGGTTATATAATTGTGGGTTGGTATCCATTATAAAGTGACCTGAGGAAGTCTGAGTGCCGTAAGTTTTCATTATGGTCAGATGTATACGTGTGCCTGTAGGTACATTGAATCCATGGGACGTATTCTTTAGCGATTCTGTAATATTTCTGTTATCCATAGAAATTCAAAATCGGTTTGGATTTCTCAGCATCAATCTGCCCGACGGCATGGGTTTCTCGTTCACATGAAATCTATCATCCTAGCGGATTGGGACATGCCACGTTGGATTTCGACATGTCCAATGGTCAACGCTCAAATGCGCTCAGCACTACAGATGCTTTGTGGAACCGTTTAAGTGTACTTGGAACAAGAAGGTCATTAAATGCAACATAAGTTCTAGCACAGCGATGGTGAATAATTCTGCAATTTCCGTAGTACTACTTCCGGTCCCTCCTTTGTCCGTTTCCACCTCTGAAGATTTGCACGTCTTCACAAACTCTGTACTGCGTGTGCGAAGCTTCAGCAAGAATCCGACGGGATACAGAAGATTTGCACTTTCTGTCCATTTGATCACCATATGTCATGAGACTTCAGAGAAAAGACATTAACGTTTGTTTAATTGTCCTCTATCCTGCAAACGTCCTAGAAAGCCTTGTGCATAAATCTTCTACATAAACAATCATTGCCGAACAAACGACATAATTGCGCCTTCAGCGCATGTTGCGAATTGCAAGACGATTGTTGCTTGAGTTGATTTTGGAACGTTTCCTATCTGGATAACCTTCATTAGGTTATACGGCGATTTCCGCCTTTGGCAGGTATGCATAAAGGAGGCATGTTGCTATCGAACCAGTGATGTATGCCCTCCAATCGGTACCAAACAGGTAACAAGCATGGT